GAGGAGGAGTGTATGTTTCCTAAGGCAACAGACACCTGCTTCAAGAACAAGCTACATGATCAGCATTTGGGCAAGAACCTTCCAAAAAACCCAAACCAACTAAAGGCAAACTTCTCCTTACGGTTACTATGGACATTAACATATCCGGCTGTCTGCAAATACGAGACGGTCCTCACTGCGGAACATGAAATCCATGGGGAGGAGTCGGATCCAGATCCAACTCCTCCCACCTTACATACACCTAAACCTAACCAACTCCGCCCCCTGATCCCTAAACCCAACCCTAATCCTACCCATCTCCACCCCTTGGATCGTGATCCGACTCCTCCCCGTGGATCTCATGTTCTGCATTGAGGTGCTACTGGCAAAAACTGAAGTCATCAGTCAAGTTGCTGGCTCATCCTTTGCCTCTTCTGAAGCAGGTAAACCATTCAGAAGCATTAGAGGAAAAAACTAAAAGATTAATTCATTAATATATCACTTTTTTGTTCCATAGAGGCCAGTAGTGGAGGAGCAGGAGTCAAAAAGACCGCCAAGAAGAAGGGAGGCTTTTTCCAGACAGTCTCAGCTGTTTTCAGACTATTAAAACTCATTTGAACCACTGATGGGTATTTTATTTCCACTTTGCTTCTTAGCATTTAGGGGGAAAAAAAAGAAAAGAAAAGAAAAAGGATTGTTGCGCTGCTTTATCCCTAATGAGTTGAAAACATCAGGTACACAAATAAGATTCAATTCATTAAAATGTTGGGAAAAAAATATTATTATATAACATGTTTTGTTAGGCATTATAACACAGTTCAATTGTATTTTAACCAATGACTTATTACAGGGATAATGGACAACATTCTGGTTGTCTGCCAGTTACACTGTAATGGTGTGTTAGAAGGCATCAGGATCTGTAGAAAGGTTTTATCCTTTATTTTGACTTCAAACAGGGGACATTTTACTTGAAAAACCAATGCATTTGCATTTGGCTCTTGATTTGCATTTGGCTCATTATTGATTGGTCAATCATGGCATTTTGTGGTCAGACGTTTTTGCATAGTGACCACTTACCTATATAATTGAACATTAAACGTTTCTCATAACACTACACTCTTTCCTCTCCCACTGTAAAAAATATTTTCAAGATTTGTTATCACAACATCATTTCTTTTGTCAAATCAACTTCATAATAATTTATTTAGTTGAGATAACTTATTATTTTGAGTTTCTGTTGGTTAAATTAATCTACTTCATTGTATTAACTCACTTTTTCCAGTTCAATCAACTTAAAATTTTAAGGCAACCCAGTTTACTTACTTTTTTAAGTTAAACCAACAATATGTTTTTTACAGTGTAGTAATCACAACATTTTTTCTTTTGTCAAATCAACTTAAATAATTTATTTAGTTCAGATAACATATCATTTTGAGTTTCTGATGGTTAAATTAATCTCCTTCATTGTATTAACTCACTTTTTCCAGTTCAATGAACTTAAAATTTTAAGGCAACCCAGGTTACTTACTTTTTTAAGTTAAACCAACAATATTTTTTTACAGTGTAATAATAATTTTAGATCAGTATTTAATGCCCTTTTATTTGGAATTTAACTGTGTAATAATAAACTGTATAATGACAGCCCATTCTCACCCCCAAGGCGTCACTTAACTAACGCCTTGGTTGGGAAGCATTTGGACATGCTTCAATATCTGACGCTTTAGGCGCCTTTTAGCGTCAGTTAGATGGCGCCCTAGGATCGCGTGTACCCTACCCCCACCCCACACCTAAACCTAACCGCGTCCTCTAACTGACGCTTTCCTTTAGCGTCAGTTAGATGACGCCGTAGGATCGCGTCATGTAAGTGACGCTAAAGGGCGCCTAAAACGTCAAATATTGAAGCATGGTCAAAGGTGACGCCTTGGGGTGAGAATGCGTTGATAATGACCATTTTACTGTTCACTTTGGAGAACCTTACACGTCTAAGATTTATGATCTAATGTCTATTGTTTCATGGTCAGATACAGAATTCATAATGCCAGTGCGATCTCTGAAGGACAGTTCATCGATGGGAAGAAGGCCTCTGAGAAGCTCTTGGGATCAATTGATATTGATCACACACAGTATAAGTTTTGTCACACAAACGTCACACTAATTTATCTTCTTACTGGCCTTATTCTGCTATCATCCTTGAAAAATATTACTGTAAACATTCGTATTACATTCTGACACTTAATTCATCTAACAGGTGTTTTTCAAAGCTGACCTACTGGGGACATTAGAGGAAATGTGTGATGAAAAATGGGCATCATTGGTGGAATAAATCTATCTTACACATTTACCCAAATTCTTATACGGCTGTTTAGCCGAAGCTAATTTGGGTGGGTTTCTCCCATCATACAATGTCACTTCTCTGTCTTTTACGGCCCTGACGAGAACGTCGGTCTCCTCGGCTGTGAACTGCTCCTGGTGTAAGCCATTATAAAAGTGTAGCACACGTGTCAAATAATTGCACTTGTTACTAATGTTAACTATAGGCCAGTAGGTTCGACCATGGAGGTGTAATAAAGACAACACTGGGTAACTAGTAAAGTAAAGGCGGGCGTACACGGTGCGAATTCTGACGTTCGGAAGATCGTATGTTCACGCACACCTCACGTGCGATTTTACCCGAAAATCGTATGGACGCAGTGATATACGACACGATTTTACGACCTGCCGAATTCCGAAAAAAAACTCACGAAGTTGCGCGCCCAAAATGGATTCAGAGGAAGAGATTGCTTTCTTTGTTGCAGCAATAGCTTGCGAAGGAACAAAAAAGAAAAGAAAAAGGAGGGAATGGCAAAGGGTTTGGTTGAAGAGCAGAGAACAGCATGGACTTTCTATTCTCCAAAAACAACTTGAGGTGAGTGTATTTATGTGTATGCATCTCTGATGTGTTCGTGGAAGTTACGGGAAAGTATAGACTACAAGCATAGTGTGTCACGCAAGGCTATTTGTAACTTCATTTTCATATTTCAACCAATTTAAATGCTTGATAGTTGGGTATTATTGTATACGTGCTGTAATTGTAGGCCAAATGTTTCTATACGGAACAGCCCGCATAAGTATATGAGACACGCGCGCGCGCGCACACACACACACACGCACATTTATTTATATATATATATATATATATATATATAATTCATGCATAATATGCAATATGCTTATATTACTACAATGTGACTCACATAAAATGCAATATCTGTAATTGATTTATTTTATATAACTTATTCTACAGATGAATGACATGCAGGGCTTCAGGGAGATGTTACGGGTGACTGTAGATGATTTCTACGAGTTACTGTCCCTGGTTGAGCCTTTCATTACGAAAACAAACACAGTCATGAGGAGGAGTATTAGTGCCAGAGACAGATTGTCAGTGACATTGAGGTTTCTGGCCACAGGTAAGTTTGTAACTTGTACAAAAAGTATATTTTATATGTATGTATGTATGTATGTATATGTATATATATATATATATATATATATAGTACATAGATCAATACACTCTTATTTTTTAATAATTTACTATTTTCTTTATCAGTATGTGTATGAAATGTGTTGTACAAATGCATTACCTTAGCTTTGCCCCATACAAATAAATGTTCTTTACGAGAGACCTTTAAGTCTCTTGGCTTTCAGTTTCGGATGGGAAGCACGACTATTGGTAGAATTGTAGAAGAAACATGCGATGCACTACACCGCACTATGAAGAAGGATTATTTGAAGGTTTGCAATCGTATGATTACATTATATTATATTATATGATAAATTATATTAATATTTGTAAAATAAAACTTGACTAAGTCAGATTATTTTGACTATGAAATAAAACAACAATATTACACTTTTTTAAGGGTAACACTTTCACATTAAAGTTTCATTTGTTAACAGTAGTTAAAAATACTTCAATGTTAACAAAACATTAGTTTAAGCATCCTCATTCGCATTGATTTTGGAAATTGGGATTATACAGATTATGCAATTTTTAACTTGCATCTCAAAGTAGCTGTGTGTTGATAATCTGATAATGTCATGTTTACAGACACCAACTTCTGAAGACGAGTGGAGGAAAATTGCTGAGGGGTTTGACCTGAAGTGGCAATTCCCTCATTGCCTTGGCGCAATAGATGGAAAACACATCTTTATTCAGCCCCCAGCCAACAGCGGCAGCACATTCTACAACTATAAGTCCAGGTTTTCCATCCTGTTGATGGCTGTAGTGGATTCAAACTACAAATTTATTTACACAAATGTAGGAGTTCAAGGCAGAGTTTCAGATGCAGGTTTGTTTGCGCAGTCTGATTTGCGAGCTGCCTTAGATGAAAGAAAATTAAATCTTCCTGCTGCTGAGGCTCTACCCAACACCGACATCATCATGCCATATGCTTTTGTGGGAGATGAAGCTTACCCTCTGAGGAATGACCTGCTGAAGCCATACCCACACAGGCGGCTACAGCCAGAACAACGCATGTGGAAAATGCTTTCGGAATTCTTGCTAACCGACTCAGGGTGTTCCGCACAACCATCTGCCTTGATCCTGACAAAGCAGTGACAATCACCTTGGCAGCACTGTGCCTTCACAATTTCTTGCGCAACAAACAATCAGATGCCTACCTTCCACCTGGCCTGACTGACTGGGTGGATGAGAACCATCAGCTTCACGATGGGGCATGGAGACAAGAGAGAACCCTGCAGTCTGTGAGATTGGAAGCACAAAGAAACCCAACAATAGCTGCCAAAGAGCAACGTGACCGTCTTAAAGGTTACTTTGTTTCCCCAGCTGGCTGTGTACCATGGCAAGACCAGTATGTCTAATGGATAAACTGAAAACACTTCACTGTCAAATATTTGTTTTTATTTTATGTTTTGTTAGCAACATGTTGTATAAAACAAACATTTTACAAAACATTAAAACGTCAAACGTTTTAAACAAAACTGTATGAAAGTTCACATCAAAATAATTCAAACCCAAATAAAACTTTGTGGCAAATAAAATAAACTTCAGTTTCTTATAAAAGAATAAGCATTCTGTGATTTTATACAGAAAAACATTGTTTTGGTATTAATACTTTACTGGTATGTTTCTGTTTTTTTCCTGAAAGTATGTTAATTGCTCATTCCAGTAGTAGAACTATATAATAACATAACATTCAAAATATGTAAAGTACTAACAGCTTTTTTAAACGACCAGCCAAAATAGTAAAAAAAAAAAAAAAAAAAGGTTTTAAAGCTCTTGGAGCTGATTGCACCCCGTGTCATCTACATGATGCACTACAGTGTAATTCGGCTGGGACAGTAAAGGCCGTGGGGGTGGTGTTGGTGTGGGTGGTGGAATGTATGTTGGATGTGAAGAATAGTAACTTCCAGACATAGGGAAGCCTGGGTGAGTTTGCATTTGAGGCACTGAAATTTCACTTTCTTGTGCATCATAAATCTGCGACATTATTGCCCTTTTTAATCTCAATACTAGGGCCGGATTTTTAATTCGCCCAAGTTCCGCCCCTACCTGTTTCCCAAAGGAATACTCCCCTTTGTCCTCCCTATTAGAAATTCGGTCTGCAACCTTGTTGAGTATTGCTATTTTTTGTTGCTCAATGTTTTCATTTTTTTTACTCCTGTACTTGGCCCGACACAAAGGATATCCAGGGGCAGGCGGTCCAGAAGCAGGTTGGTCATTTTCACAAGGTGTGTCACAAGAACTCTGCTCTAAACCAGGTGACAGATCAGTTTCATTATCCATTTCACTGTCTTCTCCTCCTAGAGCAGCAGTGTTTTCTTCAAGCTGTAAAAGATGCAAAAAATTTAGCCAAAGAATGTAAACTGGGAAAATGACAACTGCCTTCCCACTATCTTCATTTTTCACACTTTGTCCTCCTGTTACCCTTCTACATACGTATATATATATATATATATATATATATATATATACACACACACACACACACATATATACATACACACACACACACACATATATATATATATATATACACACATAAATACTAGGGATGTCCCGATCCGATCCACGGCATCGGTATCGCGCCGATACCGGCCCAGAACGCTAGATCGGAGATCGGAGGGGAGAAAAAAATATGAGCGATATCCAGTTTAGCGGCGCAGCCTGTCACGTGATGATTGTTGTGTTTACGCACACGCGCGCAGAGAATCACTCTCGCTTTGCGTGTCAAGAGCGAAACTGGCGCGCGTAAAGTTTGAAGCGAAATTTACGCGCGTGACGCGCGTCAGAATCAAAATCCGTTGGCGGTCATTGTTTTTATGTCGACCGAGCATTCATCAAGAGAGTTACCGCTCTGTATTTACTCTGGATAGCAGAACAGCGGCGTGGGGATCATCGTCGCCGTATATTTGTGTCCACCGGACCCTTCGGAGCCGAACCGTTTGGCGAGTTTCACCATTTGCTCGCTCCAGGAGCTGCGCTGGATGACGGCCGCTGTCAGCGGTACTTCCGCCTGTCACGCGCCCAGTTTGATGACCTGTTGTCCCGCATCTGAGCGAGGATCACCCTCGCCCTCATCCATCTAATCTAGCTGTCATTTATTTTTGTTTTGATAATAAATAGAGCCAGCCTTCAAAAGTTATTAACCTGTCCTGTGATTTTTTTTTTCTCTCTCTCACGTCCAGACACGAATTTATGCACATATGTTGATTGTCTTTACAACATAATACTATTTCTAGATATGGAATGAATAACATTCAATACAAAATGAACATGTCTCCATATAGAAATAATGTTTTAAGTGATGAAACATTTGCTTTGTTGTGCATAATCCCACCATGCATTTAGTCATATTAACAAAATAATTTATTGAAGCATCCAGACACTTCACCACGTGAGCAAGCAGCTAGGCTCCTGATTGGTTAACGCGGCGCGAATTCACGCCAAAGTTCAGCCAACTTGACGCGCGAATGAGGCGTATTCGCGTCTTCCGCGCCGCGCTCCACGCCTCATTCGCGCCGCAGGAATTTTTCTTGCATTGACTTAACATTGAAATCATTCGCGCCTGACGCCCTATTCGCGTCCGGTGTGAACGTAGCATTAGTGCGTCGAAGTTGTGATAGCGCTGTCGGCTAACGCGAAATGCTACTATTTACATTCCATGGATGTTTATTCATATTGTTTTGGACTAAAAACTTCTTCAAATTGGATTGTATGGACGCTTTACAGTGAAACCAAACCATTTTTGTTGGAATGTGGACTAACAGATGGCTAATTGGTGAGTTTCTTCCAGTTTGTGTTGGTTTGTTTTGGCTGTTGGTGGTCTGACAAAGAGACAGATTGTGCCCGCTGTGTTGATTGTATCTTAAAATGGTTTACGTCGTTCGAATCACGAGTTTCTCAGCTTTCCAAAGATATGTATTATGTTTACTTTTGTGTTTGTTTTGTTTTGTCTTTCACAAAGTTAAACCTATAAACCACCCTGTGGGCCGTATACGGCACGTCGGACCACGAAAAAAAAAATATCGGACTAATATCGGTATCGGCAAAAGCCAAAGGTGCGGCATCGGTATCGGTATCGGAAGTGAAAAAGTGGTATCGGGACATCCCTAATAAATACACACACATATATATATATATATATATATATATATATATATATATATACACACACACACACATACATACATATATATATATATATATATCCCTTGCTACTTTATCCCTCCCATTTTTTTCTCTCTCCCTAATAAATCTACTTACTTCCAAACTACTTTGACTTGGTCTTTGCAAAAGAAAGGGCTTCAGGAACTGCAAGTGTTGTACTATCCATTTCTGCCTTGCTGTTGGCTGTTTAAAGCCACTACCACTTGCTTTTTCCTTGATTAGCTTCCCAAACTGTGTCCTGAGAGTGGCCATTCTTGTTTGGACATCGTGTACTATATAAACAATACCAGAGAACAAAACAGCAACATTAACTTATTCTGTCTTTAGGCTCTATATTTATTTAGGGTGACCAGATTATTATTTTTTTTAACCCTTCGAAGGCAGTGTTTAATAATCTGTATAGTATGTCACTTAATACAGTTAAATATAACGTTAACTGCTCTCTCTCCCTTATAAACTATATAAAAATATATAGTTTTCTGCATCCATGTAAAATATTGAGACAAGCCATGACTACTTTGCTACATGCTGGCTCGTTTTCAGCACCTATAGAAACAGGGACGTCTGGTCAACCTTGTGTGTGTGTGTGTGTGTGTGTGTGTGTGTGTGTGTGTGTGTGTGTGTGTGTGTGTGTGTGTGTGTGTGTGAGAGAGAGAGTTAAAAAGTGACTATAGCTAGCTATAGCTAACTATGGGTAGCTACCTTTAAGTATTACATCTCACCTGTAAACTGTAACTCTTGGGCGATCCGCTGTAAAATATCATCTCGGACGACCCTGTCATGGTACAAACTGCATGACACATCATACAGTTCTCGCTGTTCCTGCCAGAGTTCAGCAAGTTTGTCTTGCTTTTCAATAGTCCACATTCGCCATGGTGCTGCCATTTTCGTCTTTCTTCTTCTGTGGTTTTCCTCAGCTCCTGATTGGTCAAATTCAGATACATCGACAAATCGGCTCATTCAACCGCACACACGCCACGAATTCAAGCCGACAGCTCCCGAACTTTTTCGACATGCTTAAAAATTATCGGGAGGTCGAGAGGTGCTCGGCTCGGCTCGTAGTTTCATCGCACATGATACGAGCCGCGACATGCGAGCATAACCGATTTCCACGCGATTACTCCCGATTGAAAAAAATCATCTGCGAGCTCGTAAAACAGCAGAAAATCGCACCGTGTACGCCCGCCTTAAATCTTTATATTTAAATGAAGGTCTGTTAATATTCAAAAGGAAAAAAAAAACAAGAAAAAACAAAACAAATCTGTTCAATGCAAACCCAGTTATAGGGATTCACTTCAATTCACCATTAGCGGAAAATTTCACTTGGCTCTTTTGTTAGTTCACTCAGTTGAATACTACACGAAATTCAACCCCACAAACAATGATAAATGTTCACAACTGGAAAAATGGACAGTTCACTAAATCACATTCATGAACAAAAGAATGAACAAATTGCAAAGCAAAAGCTCAGAAGAAATTAATTCAATTGAATCAAATAAAATGACTCGTTCGACCTGTTCAGTTCAAAAAGGCTGAATTGGAAAAGTTCACCTCAAATCGGCCAAGGCGAATTTGATTCAAAAGATTCGATCCGTTGATTCAATTCGAAAAGTCCAAAGGTCCTTTGAACCGCGGAAAAGTGATTCAACAGTTCCAGAGATCTTTTTTCACCGGAAAACAAAATACTCTTGAGCAGTCTTTCCAAAATAAAGTTCAGTCCCGTTTAGTAAAAAGCTAGCAGGCAATCAGAACATTCCTACCGAATTCCACGGTGTTAGATCAACTCAAATCACACATCAATCGACTTCATCTCGCTGGGAAGGCTCGCCATCTTACTGTAGATCATAACGCTGAAATGAACGCAGTTCCAGCGTAGAATAAAGACCTGACCTGCATGTGCAACAGGCAGCATTTAGTTCAAAACACACATTAAATTCACGATTTTTAGTCTAACGCACAAAAAACAGTAACACTTGTTATCCTGTTTAGCATTTAACAGCAACATTTCCATCGTAATTCAACAGCTTAGATAACATTATGCAATACAAACAAAATCACTAGTTCAATATGATCAACAATGAAATATGAACATTACGAACTCACACATTAACCATTACAACACTTTTTACTCATTAACATCAGATCTTATCAGCATTTCATACTGACAGAAATACATTCACTCTCAAATTAACACACCAGTACACAATCATATTCATGAAAGTTTACACATTTTAAAATGTGTACTCACCAAATCCAAAGAAAATGTATCATAAATGTCTCTTATTCAGTCATCTCTGACGATTTATACAAAGTTATGCTGCTGCTCATCTCATAATCACGCAGAGAAAAGAAAATGGATTCCCCCATACAGCAACTAACGTGGTGGGGCGGGACTTCAACATAACCTCACTTAATTGGACAAATCACTCAAATGTCAATCATCACACTGACATGCATTTCTTTTGGATTTATAATTTTCCTTACACTTTTACACTAATTCTGGTTAGTTTATTATTTTAATATCTTGAATTAATTAATTCCCTTTTATAATTAATTTGTTAAATTGTACAGGGTTACAAAAGCAATCCACCATGAAACAAGAGCTTGGTTTTAAAGGGAATGTGAGTTGACGCTCTGATGCGGGTTTATGGGCTCTATGCACGGCGTTATTTCCGGTGAAGGATTAAGGATGCTCGATAACTTCCGCCGATCATAGAGTCCAATGCAATACCGAGAATTTATATTGAATTTTATACTCCATGGTTATACTAATGAAACGTTAGTCACAAAAACAGATAAAACAGACACCCCTTGTTGTGTTTATGCTTCTTTTTAAAATTATATTAAATAAACATAACTATATATAAAATTACATCTAAACGTACGTTTCGTTTCAAAGACGGGAGGACAGTAAATATTGAAGACTCTGCCATAATCCCGTTTTCTCCGGTTTTCCTCCGCTTTAATCTACACAACCGGAAATGGACGAGCATCCTTATGTCAAATGCGGAACTTATGCGTGCATATAGCCCATTGCACGTGACGCCCAAACCACACCCATGAGTAATGTAGCTACTTCAGACCAACCCATTGGCGTCGGGTGCAAGAGTCATTTATCCACTCGGTATAATAGTAACAGCCCCCAAGATCCGTCCACAAAGTTAATTGTGTTTCACGTTTGATACTTGCGTTTCAGATTGTTAAAAAAGGGCCCTTAGTCTAAAACTACAATAAGCATCATGTTTACTCACAGCACACACAAACGCTTCTGCACTTACAATTTCTCTCAATAAATGTGCTAACAAAGTAACTTTATTCCCACATTTTAAAAAGCGCCTCAGATATTTTGATGTAAATTTAAAAGTAATGCGTTAGTAATGTGCTAGTTACTTGAAAAATATAATCAGATTTTGTAACTCGCATTACTTGTCCGCGGAAATTCCTTATTAGGACATTTAGTTTCCCAACTGTAAAAAACGCGTCACAAAATATGTAACATTTAGTGAACAATATAACCAATCAGCTTTTAGCAGACTCATTTGGCACACACAAAAGACTCTAAATGGGTGAGTGTCGGAGGATTGTTTACTGTGTCTTTACATCCCCACTTTGACAGCTTTTCTTTTTTTTTTTTACACCAAAATGGAGCCCACGAGTATAGATAGCAGTGCTTGAGACCGTCTCTCCATATTTAGACACCCAGCTTTAATCAGTGGTGCGGCTGTTCTCACCTTTAATGATGATTGTGTTAATTAAAACTGGCCAAGTTTACTTCAGACTATACATTACAATGTCACAATAAGGTGATTTTGCAGCAGGGCTTTGGTTAAGCTTGGTGGCGGGAAACGATACAGGAAGGCTTTTGTTTCAGGCTAATTAATCGCTTGACTTCTCTTGACAGGCGTGGAGTCTCAGACTTCCCACAACCATTTGTCAGTGCCAAGATTTACAGGGTTTCGTTGCATCCACAAGAACACATTCCACACATTGTGGTTGATAAGCTGTTGCAATATGATGAGCCAAACCTTCTGTCTAAATAAATAAATGCACATATAAATTGTAAATATGTGAAAAAGGACATGAACGATGGTTTAAAGGAATCTTTCGGAGTAATTTCAACCTAGGGTCCTTTGCACCATGAACTCGAGCCAAACACAAACGTAAAAAAAAAGGTTACTGAATTTTACGTTTATTGTTATGAAAAATGTGCAAAAATACTATTTTCAATTCTTACATAGAATATACATTTTTTTAAAAATCACCTTTTACTGCAAGAAAATCAGAGCCAATAATCAATAAAATGAATAATCAATAAATCTAAACAAGTTGTGTTCCATAAATTGAGCTTTCAGTAAGATTTGGCTACAGTAACATTAATTTCCAATGCGGTCGTTTTTGACTACGAGCGGTACAAGTGTGACTATTTTATTCGAGTGCCAAAACCTTTACCAAGTTTCGTACCATTATGATATAGATTTATTTATTTATTTTTATACATTTTTTGGTCACAAATGACAGAAGAATACCAGGAACTTTAATGAATCACACTTTTACTTAAGTCCAGGAATACGACTAAAATCACATTAAAATTTCAACACACTTAAGAGAACAATTTTACTCTAAGCAGCTTTATACTGTATATGAAGAGTTCAGATGCAAAAGCCTCTAAATGCCATTTGAAATTTTCTTCTTTAATGATGATTTTTATCAAACTTGTATATTTAAGTTCAGTAATTTCACTTAAATAACAATTAATAGGTAATTATCATTGCCATTTAAGTGAAATTACTGAACTTAAATATACAAGTTTGATAAAAATTATCATTAAAGAAGAAAATTTCAAATGGCATTTAGAGGCTTTTGCATCTGAACTCTTCATATATGGCCTTAGGTTTCCATTGTGACCTGTTTGTGTTAAATATTTCGGTAACACTTTACAATACGGGTGCACTAATGCTTAACTAATGCACAAATAATACTGAATTAATGTGTAACTAATGATTATCTAAGCTATTCGTTAATGATTACCACATTAGGAACTAATTAGGAGTCTGTAAGGTTAATGTATTAGTTCATAAATGAATTGATTTTAATTAAATATGCAATTGTGGATTAATTCCATAATAACTATTTTTTTTAACTAATAGTGTTAATTAATATGTTAATTACCAAAATGAGCCAAAGCCTTGTATTTCAACTTCCATATAATATGACAGGTACACTAATATGCATTAATATATGATTATTTACTTCATTGTTAGTGCAAATTCATGTGCAAATTACTAAATGACTTAATAATGATGTGCCCCAACAAGTAAAGTCATAACATAATGATACCTTTGCAAATCAATAGCTAATGATTAATTAAAGCAGACAACTGGAAGTTTGAAGTGCATAGCTTTGACTAATTGTGGTAATTAACACATTAATTTACACTTTTAGTTAATAAAATATGTTATTAAGGAATTAATACACAACATTGAATTAATAGCAATTCATGTATTACTTCATCTTTTAATCATATAGAATCTTTATTAGTTGCTGATGCAACGGTTTAGTTCTTCATTAGGTATACATTAACTCCTGATTATCTGTGCATTAGTTAAGCATGAATTAATGCATATTAGTGCACCCGTATTGTAAAGTGTTACCAATATTTGTTTGCTTCTCTAGCTTCTACTAAAACCATAAACTGTAAGCACCACATCTTCATAAAACACATCTGCTGTTAGAACCATGTATTATAAAGGCACTGCTTTAATTCTGCATGTGAGTCTGATCAGTACAGTGTTTGTCGACACTGCTTTTAGCCCTTAATGATGTGGTGCACAGTGCCCCCACAACCAGTAGGTGTTTTCTGCCCACAGATAGGTTTAACTAAAGAG